GCCGGAACGCGGCGGAACCGCGTTCCGGCACCTTTTTCCGGGCCGGCCGCACCGGAAATAGCCCCTCCCACACCGGAAATAGCCCCTCCCAAATTTTACTTGCATTCCTGTTCTCTAAAGGGGCGGTCCTAGGGTTTGATGAGGGCGTGGCCAGGTTTGAGTTCCGCCACCTTTTCTCCGAGAAAAAAAGCCCTGTAGACATCCACATTTTTTCGTTAACAGGATTAGTTGTGGACACCTCTAGCAGAAATTATGTTACATGCCTCACCCAATACTCTCCTCTTAACCAAAAATTAAAGTACAGAGATATAACTCAGACATGGACTACATTTCTCCATTTGTAAAAACATGGCTGTGAAAATTGGAATATCAGAAAGTCTGAAGGACAAATTGATGCCTTTGAATACTGGTGCCAGTGAAAGCTTTTGCGAATACCATAGATTATCATCCACTGAACAAACCATTTGATCATAGATAAAATCAGCCTGGTCACTGGAAATACTACTATAAAAGGAAATTTTAACTATTTGGGACACATGATGTAAAGGCAAGAGTCATCTGAAAAGTCCCTGATGTTTGGGAAAACTGAAGGCAACTGAAGAAAAGGCCAATAACAAACATGGCAGCTAGATATTATCACTGATAATATAAACGTGAGTTTACAAGAACTCAAAAAAGCAGTTGCTGCCTGGCAATCCTAGCAAAATATTATTCATTAGATCACAAAGCAACCTAGTAATTAAACAACAATTTTGATAGTTGGGTATTTTCAAACTAGAAGACTCCAAGGTTCCTTCCAACCTTTTTTACGTAAAAGTTGTGGCCCAACTTTTAAAGTGGCATTTTAAACTACTAATTAAAGAATTAGCAAAGTTTTTCACCTGTGTAGGAGTATAACCTACATCCATATATAAACAATATAACTGGCACCTACCCTGCAGCAAATCATTTATTTTAATTGCACTATGTTGAAAATACAATTTATAATGATATGTATATGGGTTTACAACAAAAGCTAAATGTATTTCATTATTATTTTTAATATCATGGGTGCTAGTAAATAATGCCATCAAGCATTACTCTAACAAGTGAACTTTATTTTGGAAAGCATCCGACACATACATATCAACAAGCACAGAATGAGGTATCAGTTATAATCTTTATACATACTTGTTCCATGTAATGAAAGTTCCACGTTGTGTTGAAAGTCCAAGAGCAAAGATTTGATTCATTTTAAGTCCTGCAACTAAAAGATATATTTACTTATTTTAAAAGATTTATTTATTTTAAAAAGTTTTCCATTCAGGTGGGTCATGGAAATAAAACTACAAAACCCACAAAAAAACCTGTGGCTCCATCAACCAATTGTCTGTCTATCCCAGTGCCTAGATAAAGAGCCAGGTTTTAATGTCTTTAATTTAAACAAGAATAGCTGAATAATTATGGTGGTGTTGATTTAGTTTAATAATTAATGCACATGCATAAATGTTTCAATAAATATATGATGTTTCATTAAAATAAACTTAACTAGTAATCATGATTGTTAATTTAGTTTCTAAAAGGTGATGTGAGTGGAAAATAGGCTTTTCCAAAGAAAAGTAGTTCCCATATGTTGTGAGTTCTTTTGTGAAGGCCTTAGCTTTAATCTAGATATTGTGATAGAGCGTGTACCTGGAAAATAAGTGGGTAGGAGCTTTGGCAATACAAGCTTTCCCAAGGAGGAGGGAGCAAATCTCATCAGAGATTTCTAATGGGTTATAAGGTTATAGCTTTAGTTTCACAACATTCTGTCCATTAAATGAAAGCAAATAAAGTTCGGATTTGATTGAATTTTACTGTGTCATTTTTGAGCTTGAATCTGATTTTGAACTTTTGATCTTGAACCCCTCTCATTTTTGAGCTTGAACATGGACCTCAATATAAAATAAATTCAATACGGCAGTATTAAGTTTTGAAAGAGCAAATTGATACCGTTGCATGATTACCTTGAACTGCTTCTTTAATCACATCAATGAACTGTGTCCACAGACTTTCAGGGTCTAATTCAACCCAACCAGGCTGAGGATGAAGAACCTCTACCTATTAAGAGAAACACAGGTTACCAAGATCATAGATGTTAATGATCTTAATGAAAATTACAAAAAAGCAACTTCATATATTAAAAGAATTAAAGATGTTTAGTGTATTTCTTACATACTTATAAGTCACATCCTGTTTTAAAAATAGCAAAGATAATTATAGCCCAGACATTAGAAATCAATGTATAGTATGTATATACACTATCAAATATATTGTTGGAACCTTCAGCGTATGGCCACATGTTTAATTAAAAAGCAGATTGTTACATGAGAATGGAAGATGTACATTTCTCTGGTATTAAAAGTCACCATAAATCCACAAACCATTAATTGAATTTGGAATTTGAACATTTCAAAGATAAAAAACAAATGTAATGCAAATCAATACTAATTCTTAAGGACTCATCATCAGAAAATAAATGCTACTAATTATCCTTCAAGATCAACTTAAGCCTTTATCTCCAAAGAAATTGGTAGCAAAGTGCCAAATCTGAACATACCGGTAGTAGAGAATTATAAAGCAATAAGTATTGCACAAAGTTAAGTATATTTTGAGGTGGTTGCATAACTTTTTCTTGTATTAAACATTGCTTTTGTAAACTCATAGGACAACCCACAGATGAACTCTCATAATTAATTACAGTATTAATTGCAATTCAAATGCTGTATTATTTAATAAAATAACCAGTCTCTATGATTCCATAACAAAAGGCAATTTGATAGGAGTATTTAAGGAATCCTCCCTGTATTTCCAGTCTTCAACATACATCTCTTTAGTTATGCATCAGAGAATGGAGAAATGGAAATTAAATTATTCATTAATTAATCATGCCTCCTTAAAATCTGAATTTGATTCAAGCTTCAGAAGGTTTTGTTCACAGAAAATATATTAAAATGTTCATATTATTTATACATCTATTACCAACTCTAGGAACTAGTTTAAGCTTTGCCTTCTCAAAGACATCAAGAGACCCAAAGTATTAGCAATGTAACAAAAATACGTCTGATACATCAGCTACAGAGAAGACCTTGGAGATAATACAACAAAAGCATGCCTTTAGTCCAGGAAACAAAGGAAGTATGTGAAAGAAACTAAGACTGCTTCCACCCTAATACGTCAAGATATAAGAGTGAGGGAAGGGAAAATACAACCAGGCTTCAAGATTTTATTATAATTTATATCAACTAAATATAGCTCCAGTTAAACTCCCTGCAGTCTATTTGTTGACCTGGCTTACTTCAAAAAATATGACAATTTGCTGTTTCATTTTGATATTAAAGAGTATTGAGAATATAGAGCATGGTGGCCAAGCGGTTAAGATGCTGGGCTTGTCAACCAGAAGGTCAGCAGTTCAAGATCCGGGCATCCAGGGGTGACCTCCTGCTCACTTAGGAATTTAAAAGCATGCAAATTCCCACTTCGGAGGGGAGGTAAAAGTGTTCCATGCACATTGATGTGTAGTCATGCTGGCCACAACTATGGAAATGTTTTCAGACAATGTTGGCTCCCTTTGCTAAGAAATGGAGATGAACACCCCCCCCCCAGAGTCGGATATGACTGGACAGGGGAAACCTGTACCTTTACCTTATTAGGAATAAATGTACCCATCAGGGCTGATTATGTGAATATATTGAAATGCTGTAAAATTACTAAGAATTTTTTCAATGCTACCTTATAGAAATAATATTGCAAGAATTTTATGACTTATTTTATGAAGTGATGATTTTACATGCTTTTGTATTAGTATTTTATTTTTAGAAATGGTTGTATTACTTGTTTTTACATTGTTTTAATCATCTACAAGTTGGCCAAAGTCATACAAGAGATGGGAGTCTGGCTAACTAGCTAAATAAAGTAAAATCTCTCTTCAGTTTTGCAATCAAGAAATGGACAAATGGAAATTAATATTGCCTCCTTAAAATCTGAATTTGAGCCCAAACAAGACCTTAAATTCTATTAAAATAGAATTCTATTGTATTCTGTAGATTCCATCATTCCCACCTCCTTTTCTGTGGGTTGTTTATGGTCAGCAAGTTGCCAAATAGCATACTGAAATAATATACTTTGTGTACAATTGCAGCCAACTCTCATTTACCTATTTAAGGAGAGAAAAAATGAAATACATTCCACACGGTGATTGCATACTCTTGCTGTAGTAATAATTTACTGCATAGAAATGCTACTAGAAGTTACTAAAGATTCTTTCCTCATTCATACAAAATGAGATAAAGTAGAAACTTACTAACTTCAGTAAATAAATGACAATTTAAGAACCAAGTAGATTTGGAGTATTTAAAGTACAGTATGGTAGGGTACCTTAAGGTTCTCCCATACAGTAGAAATGGGAAGCCAAGATTCAAAGCCAGGCATGTCAAACTCGCGACATCACGTGACATCGCGCAACGTATCGGGACTTTTTCCCCATTGCAAGCAATGAGGTGGGCGCAGTTTTGGCATGACGCATCCGGTCCACGAGCTGGCAGTTAGACATGCCTGTTCAAAGCCATCCTTAGCCACTGGTGACTTTAGACTAATCACAATCTCTGAACCCAACCTACCTCACAGTGTGTTTGTTGTGGGGGAAAAACTGGAGGAAGGAATGCTATGCAATCTTGAACTCATACAGGAAAATCAGGATATAAATCTAAAATACGTACATTTGAACATATATGGGAAAGAGAAACAGTAATAGTGTAACTCAGTGGTTCTCAACCTTTTTAATGCCGTGACCCCAACCAGTCGTAAGTCGAGGACTAAACCGGTCATAAGTCAAGGACTAAACCGGTCGTAAGTCGAGGACTAAACCAGTCGTAAGTCGAGGACTACCTAACCGGTCGTAAGTCGAGGACTTTCCCTGCCCGGGAGCGCCGCACATGCGTGGTTCCGCCCCCTGCGCCAGCCGAGGCGTAGCTGGCAAGCGGCAGAGATGGAGCAGGCCGACCACCAGCTGGCCTAGCCCAAGGGAGGTAAGGCACCCGCTGGAAAAGGGGAAAAAATGGTGGACAAAAAAAATGGTGGACAGCCTTGCTTGGTGACCCCCATGAAATGGTCGATCGACCCCAAATGGGGTCCCGACCCACAGGTTGAGAACCACTGGTGTAACTCTTTAAGCTACAATGCTATACTTAATTCATAAGGAACAAAGACCCCAGTGGCTACTGAGAATGTTTATCTATCGTTAACTTGCCTGGTTTTCTATATTCTCATGACCCAATCATCAGGTAATATATGGGTTGGCCTTATAACATATTAAAAGACAATGTGGTCAGCAAGATGATAGTTCAATGGTTTTATGCAACTATGGCTTCTATGTCATTCACTAGAGATTTCCAACATGCACTGGTCAGACATTATATGCAGAATGCCAACAATTGCATGTACTGTTATTGTACTTGAGAATTTAAGTTATTAAAATGGCAAGGTTAATTAGATCAGATGCTTACAATGAAATCTCTTTATAATAAAATATCTAAGTTTCACAATAACATGGAATCTTTATACAAATAGTCCTTGACTTAAAACCATTTGTTTAGTGACTGTTCAAAGATACAATAGCACTAAAAAAGTGGCTTATTATTGGTTTTCACATGACCACGTAACATCCCCATGGGTCACATAATTTAGGCACTTGTCAATAGGCATGTATTTATGACAGTTACATTGTCCTGGGGTCATATGATCACCATTTGTAACCTTCCCAGCCAGCTTCCAACAAACAAAGTCAATGGGGGAAGCTACTTAATGACTGCATGATTCACTTAACAACTGCAGTGATTTGCTTAATGTGGCAAAGGTTATACAGTGGGGCAAAACTCACTTAACAAGTGACTTTCTTAGAAACAAAAAATTTAGACTCAGTTGTAGTCATAAGTCAAGGACTATCTGCATTAGCTTTTTATGGTAAGCACAGCTCACAAGGCATTGTATGTACTTAAACACACCAAGATTGACCAAAGTTGACAGAAAGCTGAACTATAATAACAGGTAGTTCTGGATTTTTGACCACAATTGAGCTCAGCATTTGTTCTAAGTTAGGGCTTTTCAACCAGTGGTACGGGTACCACCTGTGGTACATTGGCACCTGGCAGGTGGTATGCGACCATCCTAGAAAAGTGGTAGCAGGGGAGGGGAATGAGCTGCACTGGTGGCAGCACCGCACAAGCATGAGCGAGAGATGGCTGGAGCTGCAGGGCTGTCAGGGCTCAGCGGAAGCGCCAGGATCAGTGCCGCTTTCCAGCTGATCAGCGCTTCTTTGGGGCTGTCAGGGCTCAGTGGAAATGCCAGGATCAGCGCCAGGCTCCAGCTGAAGCTCGGCATTGATCCTGGTGCTTCTGCTGAGCCCTGAAGAAGCACCAATCAGCTGGAAAGCAGCACTGATCCTGGCACTTCTGCTGAGCCCAGAAGCAGCACTGGAATGTTGCAGCATCTCCAGGGTCTTGTGATTTACATTCAGATGCTTGGCAACTGATTCATATTTATGACGGTCAGTGTCCCAGGGTCATGTGAAGTGACCAAAACCTGCTGCAACCACCCAGCAGACCGGGGGAATAAAAACCACCCCCCCCCCATCCCCGCTGCCAATCCTCAACAGAAATGCTCACAACAATGAAAACCTTGGACAGGAGGAAGAGCGCCGCCGGGCGGGCAGGCAGGTGTCTTGCTCAGGTGCGGCTTGGGGGACACTTTTTTCAGGGCCATTGTAACTTTGAACAGTCACTAAGCGAACTGTTGTAAGTCAAGGACCACCTGTACTTTATCACATTTTTCCCTTTTTTTGGTCATCAAGTTTTTGACACTTTGCTAGGCGACTGGTGGTACTCGGATACTGCCATATCCTAAAAGTGGTACAATGGGTGAAAAGGTTGAAAAGCCCTGAGTTACATAGTCACACAATATTGCTAGTCATAAAGTGCAACATCGTGTGACTGTGTCATTTAGTGTCAGCAATTCTAGTCCCAAATGTCATCATAACCTAAGGACTGTATTTATATCCCGCTACAATCTTAAGGGAGTCTTGGCAGTTTATGGAAAGTACAACAAACAAAATATCCCTGTTGCTTAACTCTGGTCAGTTTGTCAATGCCATTTTTAAATTGCAGCCTTAATCACTGGACAAAATGCAGTTAATGCAGTCTGATGCTGATTAAAAGGGAAGAATGACTTATTACATTACACATATGTTGAAGTAGTCTGCAATTGCATTTGCTTTTTTTACTGTTGCATCACATTCCTGATTCATGTTCAGTTTGTGATTTACCACAATATCCAGATCCTTTTTTGCATCTAGCACTGCCCAACATGATTCCCCCCCCCCTCCTATATCTTTTCTTAGTCAATCTAAGAAAAACCCATTTTGCTCTGCATTTCTTCCTGTGAAATTTACCTTCCTGGTTTCTGCCTATTGTTTCAGCTGTTTGTTATCCTTCATCTTTATGCTGTCTGCAAATTCCATCACCATATTTTAGCAGGTTATCCAATTCATTTAACAATATGTTGAATAGCACAGGGAGAATAACTAGAATTCAACTCTGTGGTATGCCACTCAACACTTGCTTCCAACTTGATATGGGTACTTTTTTTTCAATAAGCTTTATACTTAGCATAGTCAAGACCGCATTTTGCCACTCTATTAGTATTTCATGGGAGATCTGTGCACTATCATTGCACTTTCAAACAAGATTTATTTATATCCCTCTTTTATTGTTTTTACAAGCAACTCAACTGGAACACATTTAATACTCCTTCCTCCTATTTTCCCCATAACACCTTTGTGAAGTGAGTTGTGCTGAGAGTGAGTGAGTGGCCCAAGGTCACCCAGCTGGCTTTCATGGCTAAGGCAAGACTTGAATTGCAACTGTTATTGCTGTCAAAAGTACTAACACCTACATTTTTATATTTAATTCATCTTCAACTCTGAAAATTTTTTAAACAATTTTTATGGTGTGATATTAAGGGCAAGTTAAATACTGAAACCTTAAAACTGTATTTCAGCATTACATATAGCAGGATATCTATAAATGCTGCAATAAGAGATCAGCATGATATCCTACAGTCCATGCATTCATCATGGACTGTTATTCAAACTCCTGCTGCATAAGCAGTTCAGAGTCAGTGCCACATAATAAACCAAAGCAAAATCCAATTGCTATATAACCATTACAGGTCAATATGCAACTTGTTTTTATTAACTACTAAACAAGAACAAAAAGACAAACAAGTTGTATATTTAAATGATGACAGAAGTTGCAATGCACATTACAGAAAAACTACAAAGCCAAATGTGATCACTAAGTCATAGATCAGGGCAAAAAGAAAAGAAAACAACCCCCCCAATTCTTTCCTCATTCATAAGACTGCCCAGAAGAAATAAAAGACTGAGAGGAAACCAGCTTGGATTACAGGAAGCAAAAGTTTATAAAATATACACCAAGGAAAAACTTTAGTTTTAATTATATATAATTATATATATATATATAACAAACTTATAGAAAGGCAGCGTCCCACTGAATTTGAGCAGTAACTCTCTCCCTACAATTTAGGAATAGGAGTCTCTGAGTTTGTTTTTAAGTAAACTATTAAATTGTCACAACCAAGATTTACTGAATCAATTCTGATGGTCAGTTGAGCCGAATTACTTACTGAACACACACTAGCTGAGCATACACATTTTGGATGAACATATGTTTGGGTGGTTAATGATTCAGTCTCGTGCGCCCCCAGTTTTTGGACAGGGGACCGCGTTCCACTCTGAGTTGTAATCTTAGGCAATAGCATAAAAACAATCCCCAAAGAACTCGGTGATAAAGCGGAGTTAAAGGAACTTTATTTCGGGCCTTCTTCCCCGAGGCCCGCACAATTCTCACCTGTTTGCTACTGAATCCTTTGAGTACCGCCGCCTTGTCGTACACACGGCACCGTATCACCGTGCTGCCCACGTCTATCCCCAAGACGTACTTCACCTCCGGGGCAAGAGCGCAAGCCGTGGCACCGCTGGCGGGGGAAGCATTGTTGGTCGCCGGTGCGCCAGTATCTATTAGTGTCATCGGCGCAGCGCCTCTGAAAACCCAGGCAAACAACTTTCGGCAGAAGCCAACTGAAGCCTTCTCGCAATGGCTCCAGCGGAAAGTGTCAAGCAACCCCTCCGGGGCCAGGCAGTAGCCGCCCTTACTTCAGGGGCGGGTTAATGAGACGAGAAAATGGGGGCGGAGGCTGTTCGCAGGAAAGCTGGTAGGGAAACGAAAGAATCGCGCGGGGAAGCCGGAGCCAACCAGGGGAAGGAAATAGGACAAGAGAACTGTGCTGAGTTGCTCTCTTTCTCGGATTTGACTTCCCAGGCGGCTCCCGTGAATGCTTTATTCTAATTTAACTGCACAAGACTATTGCAATTTTGAGGACAAGAGCAGAAGGCGGCGAGCAGACGGGCAATTTTCCACGCAGTTGCTTGCGTAGGCAATCATAGGTTCTCCAGAGGCCGCTTGTGAGTTTAAAACACAAACACTTATTTTGGTTTTCTAGTATACTTTGCATTCTAGGAACTGAAGCCCAAAACCAGGTTTGTTTTTGTTTCTAGAATGATGAGGCAACCGCACAAATAAGTTTATTACAGTTCAAAGATAGTTGCTGCGATTTTAGTCTCGTTCTTCGGTTTTTCCATCCTCTTCAGAGTTACTTAAGAGTCAATAAAAACTAACACTATCTCTACTCACAGATCTGCAATGTACAAGGACCCAAAAGGAGACGGCAAAGGAAAACGAACCACTTCTCAAGGCTCTCGTCTTTCCCTGGGCACTATTGGGAAAAGGGGTTGCCAGAAATGAAAGGATAAAAGATTATACCCACTTTTCTCATTGGAGGTGATTCTGGGAGTAGGGCAGAAAGGAGAGGAGGGAGGATGGTCTCCTCTCTTCAGCTGCTCTTTTTCCTTAGGTGTCAGGACAAGGGGTGGGTGAGGAGAGGGCGCACGGCTCCTTTGGGTACAGTTCTCCAATCTCACAGTAAGAATGAAGGCGTCCTTACCCTCCCCCTTTCCACTAGCTTGCAAGTGAGGACGATCAGGGGTGGGAAGTTCCCTCAGGACTTCCTTAAGGTAGCAGAATTTTCTGCTGGTTCTCACCTTAGATAACAAGACTTCAGGACTAAGGGCTGTTCCACACAGCAGCTCTAAAATAACCAAAATTCTACTCCAAGGAACAAGCTGAGTTTGCACAAAGGTCAAGGAAAAGGTTTTACTAGTTTGTGCATTGGTGATGGACAGGTTGTATACAGCAAATTTCCTGCCATCTTCGCATCAACTCTCAGGCAAATAGGGTTGTTCTTTTCAAATACCAGAAACGGGAGAAAGGAATGAACAGCAAACTTCTCTCAGTCATTTATCAGGAGAAATAAAAAGAAGGCGGTGATGGACTGACAGAAGAGAAAAATGAGTTGGTTAGGCTGAAGATAATTTAGGGAAGAAGGTGGTCGGTGGGTTCTAGGCAGCGTTGGTTTTCTTAAGACTTTGTTCCAGAGGAATTGGAGTGAGACTGTTGATGTACTCCCAGGTGGAGTTACTGAACAGATCTGTTTATGGCAAGGGATTTGTCTTTGATACAGATGGCCTTGGGGAGAAATAACCAAGTCTTGCCAGCCCAAGAGACAATGCCAGCCAGTGTAATTGTTCAGTCATCTCCAAATTGGGAGAGGAAGATAGGAAAAGGCTTATTGGCACAAGTAGAAATAAATCACTGCTAAATTCTTTTTATGTATTATTGAGGCAGAAATGAGAGGAGGGTTGGTGGGGGGGAATTATGCTTAGTTAACTGTTTTAATGAAATATTGCATAAATTGCTTTACATGTTTGGAAATAAAAGAAACATGTTTATCACTATTAGTAAACAGGGAAATCACAAGTTCTGTTGTATGTTGTATTATTTCTGAAAATCCATAATAAATCATATTTACAGACCATTCAAAAGAGATAACCAAAAAGCTAAAAATGACACAAAAAGACCAGAACACATCCTCTCCAACAATCAAGACCCAGATAAGCAGAAAAAGAAGCAAAACAAAATCCTAATCAACTACCAAGGCAAAAACCACACCTCACAGAGAAGGGCAATCTATACTATACAGAGGGAAGAAACCCCATACTCACTAGTAGTGATATTAACTAGTTGGGTAATGAAATGTCTGCAAACAAATGACAAAGCTCAGAGAGCACCAAGGACTCTATAATCCTTTCTTGTTGCATTTCTTCCTTCAAAATGTTTTCCTTGGAAGCAGTAATAAAATGATTTTTGCTTATGCTATTTTATTAGTATGGCTTTTATATTTTATTATTCTAATTGATTGCATGTGACTGCTCTGAGAAACAGGGTAATGAGAGCACTGGAAATGTTCCAATATGTTCATAAGATTTGATGAATGTATGAAGGCAGCTCTATTCATCCCTTTATTAAGAAACATTAAAGAAGCATGCCGAATTTCTTGTCTTGGCCATATTTGACCAACTAATTGCATTACATTGCAAATTACACCCTCCACCCAAGCTTTAGTTGATAATTGACTTAAAATGCAAAACACTTAAGGGTCAAAATAATTTTAAGGATACACATTAGCAGGTCATGCATGTTTAACTTAATCTACTTCTAATGCTACCTATTTCTTAATTTTAGAGTTAACAATGGCCTTACAGATCAGTGGGATTTTTTTCTCTCTCTCTCTCCCCCTTAGGCTGGCAGCAGGCGTTTTTTCCAAGTGGTAAATTTTCATTATATATATATTTTTGATAGTTTGATATACTCCTGGTGTTCACGGTTTGTTTTTGGGAAAATGATTACACCCAGGAGTCAGGGAATATGATAAAATAATTTGGTTTAATATTAAAATTACTAAAATTACTAATAAAATCAATTAAAACGCCTAGCTTTCGTCAGCTATCTGCTGACGTCCTCAGGGCTCAAGATGTCAGTCCATGGGAGTTACTTTTGTAGCTTGACTAGCGTGTGCGCACGGCTCCTTGACCTCGTTATTGGGCCGGTCATGACTAGGCATGTTCCTGACGCCGGTTCCTTGGTAACGGCTTGCTCCCTCCCACGTCTCTCATCCACACAGCTAACAGGGAATTTTTCTTTTTTAGAGCTAGATGTCAATGGAGGGTCTCCTTTCGCGCGCTCAGATCCGTCTTCCGTTTTCCTTTCCATATCACCTTCACACCCTTCCCCTTGAGTCCTTTCCAATGTCGCCCCACACTTCTTTGTCCATAGTCGAGTACACGTCGCACCAACTCGCTTTCCAACGTCTCCCCCCCTCCCCGTCTCCTTTTTGATGGTACAGCCTCCTATTTTCTTATCTCCCCCTTTTTTGTTCCGATGTAATTACCATTGCAAACGCGATGCACGGGGGTTGCAGTCTTTTCCCTTTCTCCTTCCCAGTCAGCAATCTGCCTCTCGGCACCCCCCCACTCCTCCCCGTCTCCCTCCCAATGTTAGCTGTGTGGATGAGAGACGTGGGAGGGAGCAAGCCGTTACCAAGGAACCGGCGTCAGGAACGTGCCTAGTCATGACCGGCCCAATAACGAGGTCAAGGAGCCGTGCGCACACGCTAGTCAAGCTACAAAAGTAACTCCCATGGACTGACATCTTGAGCCCTGAGGACGTCAGCAGATAGCTGACGAAAGCTAGGCGTTTTAATTGATTTTATTAGTAATTTTAGTAATTTTAATATTAAACCAAATTACTTTATCATATTCCCTGGTGCTCGTGTTTTCTCACTGTTTTAATATGGAATTACCCAGGGATCACGTTTTTAAAGAAATTTCTGATATATATATATATATATATGTATGTATGTATGTATGTATGTATGTATGTATGTATGTATGTACGTATGTACTGTGGAAATCAACAGGAAATTTTGACTAGTTAATATTTGGATTTAAAACAGAAATGAAATATTCACCGTATTTTAAACAGTTGCTGTAGCAGCTAGAGCTTTGAGCTATTTTTTTTAAAGAAATGTTTTATTGATTTTTTACAATAACAATCCTTAGTGCCTAGTGTACATCGTTTTGTCTTGGTTCATATATTTTGAAAAAAATCAATAGTTAATTAACAGAATAATATTTTTTGTAATTCCATAATTAATATATTAATCAATAGTATATTTCTTTGATCTTCCCTTCTCTCAATAGTATTCTCCTTCTTCATCCTTAATCAAATATAATTCTTAATATTTCCAGTGCATAAATAATTAAATATAAACATTTTTTTCATGTTTGTACAATAATAACGACCATGTATGACATTTTTTCTTGTCTACTTGTGTTGCTTTTATAAAAATAATCTTATTGGTTCACTATATATCCTATTTTCATAATTCTTATTTAAGTTTAATTTACCCTTAATATTCAAACAATTCTTATCAGTCATAATTTTCTCAATATTAATATCTAAATATCCAGATTTTCCATTTAGATACATCATCCCAATCTTTTCATATTTCATGCATTATAAAAATACTATACTGCTTATCTATCTTATGACATCTACCTATAACATCTTTTCTGATCAGTTTATATTTCATTTATATTTATAAAAGTTAATTTGTTAAATCACTATATATCCTATTTTCAAAGTTCTTATTTAAGTTTAATTTCTCCTCAGTATTTCAGTCATTCCTTAGCCTTAATTCCCTTCAACTTAATTTACCTTTAAATTTTAAACTTTTCAATCACATACATCATCCCAATATTTTTACATTTTATATATTATAAAAATACTATATTACTTATATCTCTTATCCCTCTTATTGTAAGGCCCCTTTATATCCAATGTTATCTGTTCTTTTAATCATATTCAAACAAGTGTTTGCTCATGTAATACTCCATCTGGTAGGGCAAGTCAAATCTCTTGAATCTATCTCTGGCCTTCTTCTTTTGCCAAGTAGCTTTCCAAGTTGATATATTCCGCTTGCCAGGAACTTCTTGTATTTTTGTAAGTATTGTTGGGAATGGAGAAGACAGGATGCGTAGAATATATGCTTTTTGTCTCCCGAACTCTAATGGTTCTCCTGGCAGTTCTATA